GGTGGAACAGACAAACATAATAATTTGCAAATAATGTCTGTTCTGCTCCCTCTGGAACCAGGATCTTGGTCCCACACTGGGAACTCAAGCTGCTATTTTCAACACTACTGCCGTGGTGGGGAGCAGGTGAGGCACAGGCAAGTAAAAAAGCCACAAAGCATTCCTTCCACTTTTTAGTTGTCCTTTTCTTGGTTCAGCATGCCCCTGGTTGCTGTAAAACTTTGACTATTTTCAGAGTTAAGGCAAAGCTGGATCTGATAGTTTCAGCTTACTGTTCAATGTTTCTGTGAAGGGACAAGGTTCTGGAGCAGCCTACTCCAACATTTTCCTGATATCACTCTCAATATTTATTTTGAAAAACCTGAAAACTGATAGTATAACCAAATTGAAATTTCCTAATACAATATTATTTTTGTACCATTTTAATCTGGAAGAAGCCCACAGTAGCTTATTTCCAGAAATTTGTACTGAGTTCCATGAGTTAAACTGGCATATTAAACTGCTAAAATCAAATACAATTAGTCACATAAAATAGTAACGTAATGAATACAATTCCTTAGATTTATTTTAATATTTCACTATCATTTGTTTGCTGACAAGTGTTAGACGACAACAAAATATTAGAAAAACTGAAATAGCCTATTATTCCCAATTAAATAGATCTTATTTTTCCCTAGATAGATGATTACAGTTTTAAAAGATGTATATAGTAGAAATATGTTCCACTGATAAAATTATTTGGGGTGACTTTTATGGAAATAAAAACATTAATATTTGAAGGTATTTCATAAAGAAGAAAATATTTGCGGGGCCGGACACAGTGGCTCATACCTATATTCCCAGCACATTGGGAGGCTGAAGCGGGAGGATAACTTGAGGCCAGGAGTTCAAGACCATCCTGGGCAACATAGCAAGACCTCTTCTCCACAAAAAAATTTTTTAACAATTAGCTAGGTCGGTGGCACACACCTATAATCCCACCTACTCAGGAGGCTGAGGCGGGAGGATTACTTAAGCTGTGGAGTTCAAGGTTAAAGTGAGGTATATAATCATGCCACTGTACATCCTGGATGTCAGAGCAAGACCCTGAGACCCTGTCTCTAATAAAAGGAAAAAAAAAACAAAAAGTGGCCAAAAACAGCAAACAGCTTGACTTTTAAGCACTTCACCACAAGTTTGAGAAACACTGTTAAGCAGAGTCAATTACTTAAAATATTAAATTCTGGATCTATTAGAGCTCCACACTGAGATGCTTTAAGTAACTGTGTTTGCAAACAAACTGACAGAACTCAAAAAGCATACAAATATAACTCCACAGCAGAGTTCATCAGATATCACTGGATCATCTAATTTAGTGAGCGGATCAAGGCCAACATTTATTTAATGCAGTAGTATAGAACAAATAATATCAAGATGCTCTGGGAATAAGGATATGTATTGTTTCATAAAACTTTATTTCTAGTGTATGTATGCATGAAAACCATTCTCTTTCTACTATACTCATTCCCCTCTTCCCTCAGAAGAGTCTAAAATAGGACACGCTGTGCTACAGCACAGTCCTAAGCAGAGGAAAATATGATTCTCTACATTGCAGTGAGATTCCTACATAGTTAAGAAGAAAATTACCTCAGGGGTAAAAACTCTAGATTGTTTTACTACTTTTACCAGAATGTTAACTCACATATAACTAATTCATAACTCAGAAACCATGAAAATCTGAAGCAAGCACCTAATCTAAATCAGTAAACAGGCTCCAAAATACCTCACATTCAAGGGAATATTTACATAATTAGTCTCAAAGTTGTATATATTAGATAAATTAATAATACTAGATTGGCACACTAAGTTTTGCTTCTTAAAGAACTTTCTAGTTTACCTCTACTTCAACCATAACTATGATGTTATCCTTCTTCACAAATATTACTAAGAACACCCTCAGTAGCCTGCTATATTGTGTTCTATCAGATTTAAATATGAACAGGTTTAATCTGAATCTTAATAAATACATGGACATTTTAAAAATGTTTCATTGTAAAGTATAAATTGCTGAGAAATTTTTATCAAAATAAATAAAATCATATTACATACAGAAAATGTACATTTCCCCATAAAAGATTAATTTGTTTTAACAGACTTAAGAGTATCATAAAATGCTTTGCTAGTGAATAATCCTGCACATGGCAGAAATAAAGAAAAATATTAAAACAAGACTATTATTGCACAATTTTTCTTTACAAATGAAATAGGCTCCCTTATAAATTGATAACATTTTAATATAAATTGGATTGACACACGCAGTATTCACTATTTAGGACAGTCTTCCCAACTTTCTTCTAATATTTTCAGTTAATTCCTATATAATGTTTAAATTTAAGGATATTCACTTGTTGAATGAATAACCTACTCTGAGCCAAGAAACTTTAAATATCATTTCCATAGGAAGTGTATCAAATAGAAAGTATGTATAATACTATTTTTAATGCAATTACTGTGTCAAATATAGGTAATTACCACCTTTTTCTTAATTTTATACTCTTAAATTTGGACTTCCATTTAAACATTAAAACAATTAGATATTTTAAGGCTGCAGTCCCAAACCCTAGGCCTCAGACTGGTCTGTGGCCTGTTAGGCACTGAGCCGCACAGTCAGAGGTGAGTGGCGGGCAAGCCAGTGAAGCTTCATCTGTATTTACAGCTGTTCCCCATCACCTGCATCACTGTCTGACATCCACTTCCTGTCAGATCAGCAGTGGCATTAGATTCTGCATTACGGTGAGTTGTATAATTATTTCATTATATATTACAATGTAATAATAATAGAAATAAAGTGCACAATAAATGTAATGTTTTTGAATAATTCCAAAACCATCCTCCTCTCCCCCCTGAGTCCATGGGAAATTTGTCTTCCATGAAACTGGTCCCTGGTGCCAAAAAGGTTGGGAACCACTGTTTTAAGGCACGTGTGTCATCTAGTAATATAAAAGAGAAATTAAAAGTTCCAATATATACAATTATCCTCATACAGCCAGCCATCTAATCATTGACAAAGCAGACAAAAACATACACTGGGGAAGAGAATTCTTATTCAATAAATGGTGCTGGGAAATTGGATAGCCACATGTAGAAGACTTAAACAGGATCTGCACCTCTCACCTCTCACAAAAATCAACTCACAGTGGATAACAGACTTAAACCTATAGCATGAAACTATAAAAATTCTAGAAGAAAATGTTGGAACAACTCTTACAGACATTGGCCTAGGCAAAGAATTTATGAAGATGACCCCAAAGGCAATCACAGCAACAAATAAATAAATGGACCTGATCATATTAAAAAGCTTCTGGCCGGGCGCTGTGGCTCATGCCTGTAATCCTAGCACTCCGGGAGGCCGAGGCAGGAGGATTGCTTGAGCTCAGGAGTTTGAGACCAGCCTGAGCAAGAGTGAGACCCTGTCTCTACTATAAATAGAAAGATATTAGCCAAACAACTAAAAACAGAAAAAATTAGCTGGGCACGGTGGCATGTGCCTGTAGTCCCAGCTACCTGGGAGGCTGAGGCAGGAGGATAGCTTCAGCCCAGGAGTTTGAGGTTGCTGTGAGCTAGGCTGACGTCACGGCACTCTAGCCCCAGCAACAGAGTGAGACTCTGTCTCAAAAAAAAAAAAAAAAAGCTTCTGCACAGCCAAGGAAACTATCACGAGAGCAAACAGACAACCTACAGAATGGGAGAAAATATGCACATGGTACACATCTGATAAAGGGCTGATAACCAGAAGCTACATAGAACTCAGGAAAATCAGTAAGAAAAAATCAAACAATCCCATTAATAAGTGGGCAAAGGACATAAACAGAAACTTTTCAAAAGAAGACAGACTAATGGCCAAGAAACAAGAAAAAATGCTCAACATCTCTAATCATCAGGGAAATACAAATCAAAACCACAATAAGATATCACTTAACTCCAGTTAGAATGGCTTTTATCAAAAAGTCCCAAAACAATAAATGTTGGCATGGATGCAGAGAGACAGGAACACTCATACGTGGCTGGTGGGACTGCAAACTAGTATAACCTCTATGGAAAGTAATATGGAGATACCTCAAAGAGCTACAAGTAGAACTACCATTTGATCCAGAAATCCTATTACTGGGCATCTACCTAAAGGAACAAAAGACATTCTGTAAAAAAGACATCTGCACTAGAATGTTTATAACAGCATAATTCACAATTGCAAAGATGTGGAAACAATCCAAGTGCCCATCAATACATGAGTGGATTAATAAAATGTGGCATATGTATACCATGGAGTTCTGTTCAGCCACAAAAAACAATGGTGATCTAGCACCTCTAGTATTACCCTGGATAGAGCCGGAGCCCATTCTACTAAGTGAAGTATCACAAGAATGGAAAAACAAGCACCACATGTACTCACCATCAAACTGGTATTCACTGATCAACACTTATGTGCACATATAGTAGTAACGTTCATCGGGTGTCGAGCAGGTGGGGGAGGGGAGGAGGGGATGGGTATATTCACACCTAATGGGTGCAGTTCACACCGTCTGGGGGATGGACATGCTTGAAGTTCTGACTCGGGTAGGGCCAAGGCAATATATGTAACCTAACATTTGTGCCCCAGTAATATGCTGAAATAGAATATATATACATAAAAAGTTAATTTTTAAAACCTCATGCTGATCCAAACTGCGAACTATTACCTAAAGCAAAATTTCTTATAAAATTTAAGTTACAAAAGCATAAATTAATGAAATAGCTGGTCACAAAAGTTCAGGTTTTCACTACAAAACACAACAAAGTTAATTTACTGATTATAACCATGACACTCCAGTTCACTAACCTAAACAAACATGCACTGGTACATAAAAAAGATGACTTACTTTGGTCCCTGAGCATTATTTTTAATATAACCTTATAAAATGTTGCTGCAAGAAAATATTTTGAATTAATATAAGTAAAATCATTCTATAAATGCTAAAATTTACCTGTTTGAGTCCTTCATCAGTAAGTTTGTCCTGGTTGCCTACATGTACTTTCTGAAGTAAAGGGCAGTGAGAGGCAACCGCAATAATAGAGGTGTCAGAAAGTTGTTTACACCTGTAGGCTGTATACCTAAGAAGTCCAGGACACTTAAATGCTAAAACACATACGCCAGTATCAGACATACTGCGACAATCAGAAATGTTGATTTCAATTATATTCTGACTTCTTGAGGCAATTTTTTCCAATAATTCATCAGTGACCTATGAGAGAAAAACAAGCAATAAATTTAAACATTTGTTAAAAGTAATAACTTACTTCCTGTTATTTTGCTGAATTTTCCCCAATAAATAATAATTGGATTATAGAATGAAAAACAATCAAAAGAAAAACATTCTTAGTATTAAAGCATAACAAGAATTATGGTATAATAAAAAATATATTTGATCTTTGTCCCCAGTTCTTAGAACAGAACTTCTAAAACCCTTGGAATTTCCTGGGTGATAATGTCTTTTATTATTCATAACAAGCCCCTTTTGACTACACCAGGGTTTATACTAATGAGGTGACTCAGAGTGGGCCCCCTATATAGCTTCAGGATGGAGGCTGGCTATGAGAAAGACTAAACACGTGATCAGAGGGTGGTAACTTTCAGTCCTGCTTCCAACCTCCAGGGAGGAGAGAAAGGCTAGAGACTGGGTTATATTACAAAAACTCTTGAACACTAGCCGGGCATGGTGGCACATGCCTGTAGTCCCAGCTACTCGGGAGGCTGAGGCAGAAGGATCATTTGAGCCCAGGAGTTTGAGGTTGCTGTGAGCTAGGCTGACGCCACGGCACTCACTCTAGCCCGGGCAAAAGAGTGAGACTCCGTCTCAAAAAAAAAAAAGAAAAACTCTTGAACAAGGAGATTCAATTGGTAAACACATCAAAGTACTGGGAGGGTGGCACATACCATACCTTGCCCTAGGCATCTCTTCTATTTGGCTGGGCCTGAGCTGAATCCTTTATAATAAGCCCAAAAATGTAAGTATTACATTTTCCTGAGTTCTGTGAATAGTTATAGCTAATTATGACAACTGAATAGATTGGGGGAACTCCAGAATTTATAGCTGATCAGTCAGAAGTACGGGTGGCTCCTGGGACTTGCCACTGACAGCTCAAGTGGGGACAGTCTTGTGAGACTGACCCCTTAACCTGTGGGGTCTGTGCTAACTCTGGGAATCAGTGTCAGAATTGAATTGAATTGTTGGACACCAAGAGGTGTTGGAGAATTGGTTGTTAGTGTGGTAAAATGACAAACAAAACTATATAGAGATTTTAAATGCTTTGTTCCCTATTTTTAACACAGGAAACAGTGTACATCAGTTACCATGATATATGAATCTTGAATTTTCACACTTCATATCAGATCACACCACAGTACATAAATTTCAATTGTTTTACTACTTCTATCAGAATGCTACCTCACATGTAACTAATTCATAGCTTAGAAAATACGTCTTTTCTCAGAAGACTCAATGCTAAATATAAGTAGCCTTAAAATTCATCTGGTGAAAAACTCATATGACCATATGAATTTAAAAAAAAAAAAATCAGCCTCTACATGTTCCATGCCCAATCACCACAATTCCAGAAAGGAAAACAGAGTTAACATTATTCAAATCCTTTGGGTAAAAATTATGGAGAGAGAAATGCACTTGAAATTTAGAATGAAAGAAGGAAAGAACTAGAGTATTGAGCAGCACTAGGAGTAAGAGCCAAAGATGAAACTATCTTTGTTTATGTTTGTTGGGAAAGCATAAACACAGACAGTTGCCTGAAAACCTAAACTCTGACATACCTCTCTCTTTATATTTTTTTCATATCCAAACCTTATTATCAGCAGAGGGGGAAAGCTATTCTTAGTCGGAGTTCATAATAAATAGCTCAGACATCCAAGAGTAATGAAGTAATGAGCCAATGGATTACTTCATACTTAACCTTCTCTCTGCTCTATTAGCCGCAACTAATTTCTCATCATTCTCTTTGGACACAAATTTCGTGAACCCAAGTAAGTAAATAACTAATTCTGCAATTGTTTTAACTTCTTATCAAGGAGGCAGAAAAACAGAAAGAGAAATAATTTATACACAAATGCTCTGGAACTTGCTTAGTTTGTTTAAAGTGTGTTTGTTATACACACACAAACACATACTACCAGTGGTGTGTTAGAGCTGGCTCTTATCAACTAACAAGAGCTTATGGAGTAAATCTCTTTCCAAATCGGTATTGGGTGGCATAACATGTGCAGCTTGAATTGGCCATGATGGGGATGGGAGTACTTATACCGTAGAAATTGGCAAATATAATAATTCAGGGCTTTTTTTTTTTCTTTTAGAAGCCAGTTGTGCACACCACTGGTAATATACCATGGAAGAATTTAGAGGTTTAGTACTTCAATAAAATCCTATTCTTATTGGATATTTATACATATTTCTAGTGCCAGATACTAACTACCAAATTTTAAAGACTGAATCCAACAAGTTCAACAAACTGTAGTAAGCACTATAAACTCTTGTCTTTTTTCCTAATGTATGCCACCATATAGACATATTAGGCAGCTGAGCAATGGGGAGGATTAGAAAATCCGTCAAAAGGAAAGTTTTAAAAAAAGCTATCTTAGCCCATTTTACTTCCATTTCTTCATTTATAAAACAGAGATAATATCTACTCATAGAGTTGCTGGGAGGATCAAATGAATTAATATGTCTAAAGCCCTCAGAAACAATACACAGCACAGAGGCAGTGTTATATAAATGTCCGTCATCATTTCTACTATTAAACTACTATTCATGATATGACCACCCCCCAAAAAGAAAAATGTTTAATAATTTTTTTTAAAGGTAATGAAAAAGGGAGAAAACAAAATGACTAAGACAAAAAGGATTAAAAGGCAACCCCAAATTATCACTCTATACTAAAAACTATCTTGTTCACCATGAGAACATAGCTTTAACTTACATACACACAAAAAAAAACATTACAAAAGCACAAAACTGTAGATTATAGTTATTTGAACTATCTTGAAAAACAACAACATGGAGGACCTGAAGAGGAATAAAGATATTTTTTAATTGAGTAGGTTCACTTAAGTGTTTCTTAGAATTAGATCCCATACCTGCTGACGACTACTAAGATCCAGCTGCTTCCAAAACTGGAAATCTAAGCAAAGGTCACGCCAGTACTTGCAAACCAATGATGCAGAAAGGCACCGCTCATCCAGGGACAAATTGGAAAATATCTGTGAAGAACAAAGGAGCAACAAAATATATGCTAAACATTTTCAAAGTATAGGAAAAGGTTTTTGTTAGAAAAAAATAACTTTTTAAAAAGAAAATCATCTGGAATACAAGTGGCCATTATTGAAAAAGTTGTTAAAAGAGACCACCCTAAAGGGAAAGTATGGCAAAGGAACTAAGAACATATACTGATGTTATGTTTTATGTTGTTCTTACATAAGAGGGGAAGAGAACAGGCATATACTTGTGTGTGTATGTGTGTGTGTGTGTGCGCGCGCGTGTGTGCGTGTTAGCTGTTATTTTTTTTAAAAAAGATTGGAAGGATAAGCCAAAGAGTAATTTTAAAAAATTCTTACCTTTAAGGGAAGGGAAAAAAATACTAGGAAATGGAGAGTGATCAAAGAGATTACTCTAAAGTTTTATAATTTGACCTTGGAACCATGCGAACTTTTTACATGTGATTTAAGAAAAAAAGAAAAATCATAAAGAAATGTAAATTGTGAGAAAGTTACTTTACCTCTCTGGCATCTTTTCCTAGAAACTCATAGCCCAAGTCTAATCCCGAGAAAAACACATATGTCAAATGCGGACATTCCACAAAATACCTGAGCAAGACTCCTCAAAAAATTCAAGGTCACGAAAAACAAGGAAATATTGAGAAACTAACACAGTCCAGAGGAGACTAAGGAGAAATGATAATTAAGGTAATCGTGTTGGATCCTGGGACAGAAAAGGGCATTAACAGAAAGGGCATCACCAGAAAAACTGGTGAAATCCAAATAAAGATTAAAATTTAATTAACAGTAATGTACAAATGCTGGTTTCATAGTTTTGGCAAATGTACCACAGTAACATAAGATAATAAAATTAGAGGAACAAAGTAGGTGAGGAGTACAGGAGAACTCTCTGTACTATCATTGCAATTTTTCTATAAATCTAAAATTATTCCATATCGAAACAGAATATTGTGTGTCTTAAATATATACAATTAAAATAATTCTAAAATAAATGGCTATTTTTAAAAAGAAATTTTAAAAGTTACATCATAAAAAGATGGTTAGGATCGGGGTTAGAGCCAATAAAGATTTTTGAAAATTAAGATCAACAAATACAATATGTGGGCCATACTAAGATCCTAAATTGAACCAACTATAAGAAGATATAATATTTCTGGGACAATCACATAAAATGAACACAAAATAAATATCAGATGACTTAAAAGAAATTATTCTTAACTTTTTAGGTTGAGACTATATTGTGGTTATATTGATATTATAGTTACATTATCTTTAAAAAACTGTTATCCATTTTAGATATATGCTTTAGTGTTTGTGGCGTAAATGATATAATACCTAGAATTTGCTTTCAGATACTTTACTGAAAACAAAAAAAGTTGGTCCAAGATAGATAAAAATAAGAAATGCAGAACATTGAAAACTCTTGAAGCTGGATGTAGGATACATGAAGGGGTCATTATACTATTTTCAACTTTGGTTTGTTTATGAACATTTCCACAACACTAACTGATAATTTTTCAAAAAGAACATGAACTCTAACACTAAATTGCCTTATCTTAGGTTTGAATGGTAGCTTTATCAATTATTATCTATGTAACTTTGGGCAAATTACCTAATCTCCCTGTACCTTGATTTCCTCATCTTTAAGATTGGGATAATATAGTATTTACCTCATAGGATTATTGTAAAAACTAAACAAATGAAGTTTCTGGAACAGTGTCTGGAACAAAGTACAGTAAATCCTCACTTAATATCATCAAAAGATTCTTGGAAGCTGCAACTTTAAGTGAAACATATAACGAAACCAATTTTTTATAGGTTAATTTATACACACATATTTCTGGTCACAAAAACATCACCAAACTTCTAATTAAAGACCAATACACGTCTAATATTAAACATTAAAATAAATGTAAGCTACACATACACTTAAGAAATAATAAAAACAAGTAAGATAATCATTTACCCAATTATTCCAGTTCAGGGTTGCAGGTGGCTGGAGCCTATCCTGGCAGCTCAGAGCACAAGGTAGGAACCCACCCCGGACAGGATGCCATTTTATGGCAGGCTGCACTCACACTCACACTCACACTCATACTAGGACCATAGAAACATTTGCACAGCTTAGTCACAACCTAACATACACAGCTTTGCGATGTGGGAAGAAACCAGAGTACTGAACCCAGAGAAAAACCACGCAGACATGGAGAGAATGCGCAAACTCCACACAGACAGTGGGCCTCACCAGGAATTAATTTATTTTCTCATCAACATTATAACAAAATGATGAGCAAAAGAACATCATTCAAGGACCTGATGCTGTATATAAAAGATTCCTATAATAACTGTAACCTAAAATGACTTACCTCTATACAGATAAAAGTTGTAGACATATAAGCTAGAATCTCTATTATTTTTAAATATTGAGCCTTGGGAAAACAATTGTCTTTCCCTTTCACAATCACTGTTTTTCTTCAAAAGGATTCGGTGAGAAGTACAGAATACGCATAAGCATCACCTAGTGACTTTGCCTCCAATGCCAGCAAAGGCAGATTAAGCCCACCAAGACCTCTTACTCATGCTAATTACAATCAAAACCTCTAAACAACATACTAAAAGTAATTACCTCAAGACTCCAAAAAGTTAGTAATGAATGAATTGTGGAGGGTGGCAAATTTGAAGAACAACCAATAACAAAGATGAATTTCCTCATTTTATTCTCCCTTTTATCACCTTGCTTGGAATTGAGGTCAACCACTGACAGTACATAAATGAATGTGCATGGCTCTATGCCAATAAAACTTTATTTACAAAAACTGGCAGAAGATACGGCATACACAAGGCTAAAGTATACTGGTTCATTCATAAGAAAAACATAAATTAATAGAAACTGTCCATGTGCAAGCCCATACATTCAACTTACTAGACACAGACAAGAAATTGACCATTTAAGACATTCTCAAAGAACTCAAAGAAACTATGTACAAAGAACTAAAGGAAACCAGAGGAATCAAGTAGAGATGTCTCACCAAATAGAGAATATTAACAAAAAGTAGAAATCATGGAAACAAATAAAATAAAAACTCTGGAACTGAATCATATAATAATTGAAATAAGAAATTCACTACAAGGATTCAGTAGACGATTAGAACAAGCAGAAGTATTATATAAATGAGCCAAACATGGCCTCTGTGTATTGGACCCTAGGTTATTTTTTCACTGCAGGATGAGACTCATTAGCTCAAAAAGCTCACTAGTGCCAAACTTAAATTTTTACACATCAAATTATCTTTAGCCATTTAGAGCTTTCCTGCTTTGCATACCCTGCAAATCATCACCTGACAGCTATTACCTAATTGAGACAGGGCCTTAAAGTTGTAAGACCCCAAGCTGCGGCTGCCTTTGGAGTTCTCTGATCCAGAGACTCACCAGCATACTGCTGAGTTACAACAACTAGACAGGTAAGCCCTCCTTCTAACTCCCCTTTTCCCCAGGAGTTTCCTTGCCCTCCACCCTTCTGAATGGTGCCCCCTTGCTCTAAGCTTCTGTATAGTTTCATACAGTAACGAACTTTTCCTCTCATGTAAGCCTGCCCAAGAGGCACCCAATTAAGCTTGTTGTGTGTTACCGCCACTTGTGGTCATACCTCTTTCCTTGTTCTGCATCAGCATCCCTCAAATCCCATAAGAAGAAAGAACAAGCAAACTTGAAGATAAGTCAATTGAAATTACTGAGTGTGAGAAAGAAAAAAATTAGAATGAAGGAAAATGAAAAGAGCCTAAAATACCTGTAGAACATCATGAGACATGCTAACATATACATAATAGGAGTCACCGAAGCAGGAGAGAGTGAAAGAGGTAGAAAGAATATTTGAAGAAATAATGGCTAAAACTTTCCAAATTTGATGAAGGACATCAATCTAACTCATAAGCTCAATGAACTCTAAGTAGGATTAGTGCAAAGGGATCCACACCAAGCTATGTCATAAACAAATTGTTGAAAAACAAAGACGAAGCCTGAAAACAGCAAGAGAAAAATAACTTAAGGGAAAAAAATGTAACTAAGGATCCTCAGTAAGATTAACAACTGATTTTTCTTTGAAAACCACGAAGGCCAGAAGACAATGGGATAACTATTTGAAGTGCTGAAAGAAAACAAAAACTGTCAACCAAGAATTCTAAATCTGGCAAAACTATCCTTCAAAAATAAAGCAAAATTAAGATATTTCCAGATTTACAAAAACAAGAAGTTTGTCACTAGTAGATCTACCCTAAAAAAAATTGCTAAAGGGAGTCCTTCAGGCTGAAATGTAAGGGCACCAGACAGTAACTTGAAATCACATGAAGAAATAAAGCACACCAATAAAGGTAGGTATTTACACCAGTAAATATAAAAGTCAGTATTAATGTACTTTTGGTTTGTAACCGCTCCTATTTCCTATGATATAAAAGAAAACTTACATAAAACAATAATTACAAATCTATGTTGATTGGCACAAAACATATAAAGGTGTAATTTGTGACAATAACAACATAAATATAGGAGCAAAGTTTTTTGTATACCACTGAAACTGACCTAGTACTAATTCAAACTAGACAGTAATAAAATATGGTGAAAATTATAACTCCAGGGCAAATACTAAAATATACATATGTAGTTATTTTTCTCTACAATATACATATAAAATATGAGAATTACATGTATACACGAGAAAGGAATCAAAATGTTACACTAGAAAATATCTAACACAAAGAACAGCACTAAAGGAATTAATGAACAAGAAATATATGATACAGAAAAAAAAATAACAAAATGGTAGCAGTCTTTCCTTATCAGTAATTATGTCAAATGTAAATGGACTAAACTCTCCAATTAAGAAACAAAGAATGACAAAATGGAATAAAAAAATCATAATCCAAATATATGCTATCTACAAGAGATTCACTTTAGATCCAAAGATACATGTAGGTTGAAAGTAAAAGGAT